AAAAGACAGGGGATTGCGTCCGCGTTGCCACGGGCGCTCACGGTAGCCACAACAGGGTGGATCAGCCAGCAGAACCAAGGAAGCAAAAACGTGTGCACGGGATATTCCCCGCTGCTGCTGCTGCTCTTGCTTATGTTGCTGTTCATGTTCTCTGCCACCGATACATCGTTACTGTGTCGCCGTCCACGGGTGGAACCTCCCTTCTCTTGCCTGCCCTGCTGACGCTCCTCATGTATTCTCCATAGCCCTTTCTGCCGAATATACAGCGCATACAGCAGTGAATGCTACGCTCTAAGTCCTCACCCTCGAATATTCAGCCCCTTCTAGTCAATATCAAACCCAAAGCCTTCCACCGTCAATCCTACACATCGTCGCCTCTCCAGTGCGCATCTGCGCAAAATATGGGCAAGCCTTTTGCCCTGAGCTGCCAAGCCCTCATCAAGGCTCTAAAGAGTATTGAAACCTAAACCTAATCCCAAATGGTGCAATGAGACCTTATCCCTGACCTCTATCAATAGAGCTATAGCCAAATCCACGCAGCAGAATAATAACTTTCCGAAAAATGGGCATCCCAACAGGTTGGGAAGACACAAGTACGCCCTGAAGTGAACAGAAAGACAGGCCTACATCCTGACATTGCTATTGCTGCTGCTGCCGTTGCTGTTGCTGCCGTTGTTGCTTCTGCTACTGCTGCTGCTGCCGTTACTGCTGCAACTGCTGCTGCTACGGCCACTTAAGCTGTACATACACCAAAGGAGAATATCTGTAAGTGTGTCGCTGGTAGGGGGAGCCGCCTTTCAATACGTGAGCCGCCGCATCTGTGTAGACCTTATAGTCGACGTCAGTAAACTTGACATCCACTGAACGAAGAGCAGCCGTCACAACCCTGAGCCTTAAGACCTGAAAAACCAACACTAAATATTGCTCAGGTGAAGTGTGTTCAGGGCGGCTCACAATGGGCATCTTGCCACTCTCCGTACAGTAGCAGCACCACCCTCAACAGCGCAGCAGCAGCGAACAACAGCAGCCGCAGCTGCTGCGGCTGGAGCCCAAATAAAATGCCTCCCTGTATCATCCTGAGTAGAAATTTGAGCTCTAGATGCCACCGTCGGGGCCCAGAGACCACCGTAGGGGAGTGCTTCCTTCTCTGTCTCTGTCAACTCGCAAAGGGGCCCCGCCCTGGCGGGCGCCCCCCAAAGACAAATAGCGTGGGCTTTCTAGGGCCTCAGTCTTCGCAGGGTATCCGCAAGAGTGTTTTCAGTTTCGAACAGGCCTTAAATAGTCTTGTTTCGCGCAGTTTCTTGCAGTTGTCGTTGCTGTTAGACTGTGGAGGGGAGTGGAAAATTCGTGAGCCATGAACAGGGGGTATGGACGTTACATTAGGCTGAAGTCAATATTCCGTGTCCCTCGTATCTAAGTTTATTAGAATGAGCAGTCCAGCAAACACCTGCAGCTGAGGGAGGGCCCAGTGAAAAAAAGGCAGACGTATTGGGGCTGGTGGTGGCGGACACCAAAGCGCTTAGCTTCACGGACTCAAAATGTGTAGATATTATAGATGCTACTTCACGAATGAACTTTTTTGTGCAGTTACCATAATTTCATACTGTCAATGGCTTTGGATCTATGTGTGAGGTTTTAACGCTTGCAATGACCAAAGCATCGTGTAGCAACACGGAAGCATACAAGCCCATGCAACTTTATCCCGTTTGTCTGACTATCTCAGCCACAACGCACCTCCAGGTCTAAGTGTAGAGCTTGTATGCAAAACCCGTGCAACCTCATTAGCAGCCTAAAACATAGGCACACGCCTTCCCCGTACACTGCGGCGATGCAGCCCTCTACAGGTAGGTGTTATCGTAGGTGTTGCACGAAGTTTATCGTCACGTTCATTATTCCGCTATTAGTGCCATTCAACCCACTGAATCTGCATGTGTCATGTAAGCATCAACCTAAATTTGTATTTCGTGAGCCTAACCATTGGCCCCAAGGTAATCACCATTGTAACACAGCACAGAAAGCACTCCGAGGAAATAATCGACTTTCCAAAAAGCGTAAAATTACACTAGACACTGTTCTGTAGGAGTGCGATGGGGAAAAGTTGGCGAATTTTGGCGGAATTCGTTATGTAATTCATGAGGCTCAGCGTCGAAAGCATCCAACCGAGAGTTCAGAGGACATTTTGTGGCAAAGATGAGCATGCTTTCTTTTTACTTGCTTCGGAATTGTAGCCACTGTAGTCACTGCTGAGAAAGGCTCTACCAGGCCGGCATATACTCTCAGTAAGTCTACCAGCTTAAAGACAAACCGGCATTTCCTGTCAAACTCTGGGGCACATATTCAGCCTACGTCTACCCAAGAAAAGGTTTTTCAGTGACCTGAATGCGTGGATTTACGTATGCGACGTTAGTCACATGGGAAGGGTGCCTAACCAGCTTTGATGGCCCCTAGCAGTATCCCTAATTACAACGCAATCATTAGCGCAAACACAAACTAGTTTCAGCTAGTATCAGGGCTGCAGTATTTAAGTGGCTACCAATATGAGCGTGACCCCAGAGCCTACGGTGTTTCTATCTTGTAACCTTGAGAAGCTCTCTAGAAACCTGAAGCTGTTGTTACGCTGAGCAATGCGAAAATGGGCGTAGCCACGAGGTTAGGTCGCCTACCCAGCTCCTTGACGATTCCCACATCTCCTGCAGTCCTAGCTTGCACGCCATCTGTAGAACTTTACACTCTAATAGTGTTGCCAAAAGTGACATGCATGCGAGAAGGCGCATTGATGTGCTTATACTTTCTGAGCACAACAACTTAAATACCCGCTTACAGCTTCCGTGCTAAGGTTTTAGTTAGATGTCTCATGATGAAACAAACATAAATATGTCCAAAACCGGTAAAACATCTGAAAAGCTAGTTATCTCAAGAGACAGGCCGTAATATCTCTGCTGTAGGAGGAAAGTGGCGAGCTCAGCGATGGAGTGCCAACAAAAGGGAATCAGGAGCTCCGCCATTTTTCTCCCCATTCATTTAAGCAAAGTGTCTCTCCTAAAGAGCTGGGTGCTCCTTAAGTGCACATTTTGAACACATTCTCTGCTTAGATCAACACATACTGTAGCATCAGCCGAGCTGCAATTTCTGCCCACGGAGAACGTTGCCAGCGTTCCGCGCATAGTACCCTTTTGGAGGCACGTGCCACTGCGTCATGAGCGAATATTTTTGAATTTTCTACTCATGTAAGTATTTCTGCCGAAAAAACTGTCTGAAAATTTTCTAGTTCCCTGTTTCAGTAGTACAGCGTTGCTGTTGGTCTTCGAAGCCTGTCCAGAGGGTGGGTAAACGCGGTCATTCCCATTCTGATCACATCTTTCATACCTATTGCTACTCACTAAGGATTCCTGTGGCTAATTGAAGCCCTGGCAGCTCAAATACTCACCACGCTGAGAAATTAGTGACAAAGAAGTATAGGACACTTTGGCACCTCAGCATATATATACTTCAAACATATATACTTGAAACGTGCTTGGCGTGGCCAGAAGAGGCAAGTTTTGTTGTATCAGCTTACACAAGACCTTTTCTGTATTAATTAGAGCCAAAATGGATGCAAAGGCTCAAAAGTTGCCGTGCTGAAGAGAAATAGTCCATCTTTGACCCAAACACTCCAGATGTAGATTGCACCCTATGGCTTCAGGCAATCTCAGCGATTAGATACATTGTAAAGCCTATAAATAGTGTTTTTGGCATCTCTAGCCATTGTTTATTGAATTTTTTGGCTGTTATAAGCAAAAAGGCGAGCAACATAGTGTCCTGGCATAGCACATGGCTGAAGGATGCATGGTTGCGTTTGGCGTGAGGTAAAAAATCCCATCATCAAGAAATAAAAGTAAAAACCCCCAAAACTTGGGAAACTCAAAAAACTAGAACTGCTAAAAGGGTGTGCAACAGGGCTTACTGCAATAATCCCTGTAAGCGGCGCTCTCGAGAGACAGGTCCGTCGGTAGCGCTACCGAATGCTCACTGGACCAGTAAGTTTGCACATGCTCCTGTTGGAAAATAAAATGTAAATTTTCACATCAGAAGTATTAAATCACCGTAGACTTTGCTACAAGAAAGAGATTGGAACATTTTTGCCGTTTATGGCTCTGACCCTGCGGGTCATTCTCAGCGTTCGCTGTTGCCTTACCCTGACTGACTGACGGTGGAGGCGTCAAAGGAGAGGACGTACGCAGAACTTCACTAATTTTTATTCTCATAGATTAAATTTTCACTTTCTCTTCTGTCTATGTCACCAGGCGAAGAATCTGAACGGTGTTTAGCGTCGTGGTGCGCCGAGCCGCTGTCTGCAGCGAGCAGTTTCAATCGAGTCACGCATGAAGGACTGCAGTGCCCCTACTGAGATAAAACTCGTAGCTTATCCCGCTGCAAAATTAGTTCTCAAACAATTTCCTTTCCTATTTGAAGCTCGGTCAAGATGACTTCAAGCTTGCGTAGACTAGTTGGGCCCCTTCCGAGCAATGGAGAAAGGAGGGAGCCCGGCTATGCGCTGGAAGAAGCACCCGGAATAGCCGCAGCGCCACGGGTTTCCAGTAAATTCGGAAGTAATTCACGACTGGCACCTTCCCACGGAGCATACTTTGCCTGCCCACTGGACGAATCTCACAAACATGCGCAGACCATGAGTACTCACTCCTCAACGCCTTCACAAACGTTCATGCAGCCAGTGTTCTGGGCCCGCAGGCCTGCAGCGGCACTATCATCTACTTTCGCAGTTACTACATGGGGTATGTCTAAACCGCATTTGCGTTTCAATTCAAGCACTACGCGCAGCGAATCGGCACAAGCATGACACCACAGTCCATTGTTTTCCTTAGCTGCAGCTGCAACATAATTCGAGCTGAAACAGCACTGAAGAAATGCAAACACTTGTCAGGAAACGAACTCCCCATCCTTGTATCTCAGGGTGTCCTGAATACTGCTGCTATGCTTCTCTGCTTTCATCTTCAGGAAAAATGCTGTTGTGGGCTCTCGCGCTTGTTGGATGCATGGGCATGTCAGTAGAGGCAGACGGAGTCCTTGCAGCACCTAAAAGAGCTGAAAATGCAGCAACATTAGCACCACTTTACTTGACCTTCCATGGTTCAAGGCTGTCAGGTAACAGATTCTGAAATCCAGCTATTTGCAAGCATTCAGATGAATATAAAGAGTTTTAAGGCTATGCCTGTTGCTTTAGCTCTTTTCTGGTTTTCTTCCTAGTTTTCTACAATGGCTATACTTGAAATAACAGGTGGCATTACATGCAGCAAATGGTAACAGCCACACGCGCATAACTGTGTCTAAAATATCTTGACTGCCGCATCTTCTACGGTTTGTTTATATCGTGCAGCTATTCATCCAAGCTTGCTAGAGTCCACCGGAAAAGCTGCCGGTGAGTTTTTTTCCTTGCTTAATGCAGTTTGCAACTTTTAATTTATTGTTTTACCGACATCAGCATACGAGCACCGCAGCCTGGTACTGAGTCATGGACCGCTGCGAGCCAAGACACGTAGCAGCGACGTACCGCTCTTGCTTGAATTGCGCTAAGCGCTTAATATAGCTCTCTTTAGTTATAATGGAGCTGCCTTCCCGGTTCTGACGTGCCAAAACGCCAAGTATCTCAATTTGGTTTTCTATTGTTACCGTAGGAGAAAGCCAAAGCGAACCAGTGGCCGAAGGAAGCACAAAAAAGGGGACAGGACTAAAGAAGTTAAAGTGGCCTAATGCGAAGAAAATTCTTGGAAAATCTCCTTCCCGCAGTAATTCACGGGAGGCCATTGTATCATCAGAAGAATCTGAGGTAGAAACTGAAGCTGAAAATTCTCCTACAGGTGAGAAATGCCTATTAAGCAAGTTCAGTGTTCACACGGAACACCTTCGCAAAATCGTGAGATGAAATATGATGGAAAACTAATGCCCTTGTTGCAGCCGGTGATAAAAAGCGAAAATCGCGTCTGAAAATGCCGGCCCTACGCAAGAAATTGACACGGCGGGGGAGGACACCTCGTGACACTGGTAAGATGCTATTCCAGTTGCGCGAATTTGAGATCTTATTCTCTACTTAATGTTGGCTTGTAGCTAGAGGATGACTTTTGATTGTATGGGGAACTTGCACGCTGCTGGCGATCAACTAGCGCACTCTGTGCTCCCTGGTGTCTGTTCTCGCTTTCCAAAGAAACTGATAACGAGACTAGCGCGGATCCTGAAAAGAAATCTTCTCTGTTGAAGTCGTTCCGATCAAAAGCACCGAAAGGCCAAGCAACTGAAAATCAACACGGTGAGCCAAGCATATGCAAGGAGCGTCTATTTTTGTGCTACAGAGACTCTTAGCTACTACACAAACGATTCTCAAGACCGTAGAAGAATCATCCTATTGGTAGTCAGAAGCCGGACAGAAAAGCAGTGTGCTTGCGGATATACTGTCTTTCTCAGCCCCAGTGGGACCCATATTCGACGCGTATGTCTTAAGTGGCGCGTCTGAGATTGGAGATGAAGTAGTGGGAAGCTTCTCTAGAAGTGCGCTGTCAGTTCAAGGTGGAGTGTAGCCTTGTTTGCTTGCTGCGAGTGTTCCGGCAACTTTTACAAATGCTAGCTCCCACCATCCTTCAGTTTCAACTTGCCTTTTCATGCAGGTAAAAAGGAACAGAATGAAGTGTACGAATCAGTCGAGGCTGCAACCGCAGATGGAGACTCATGCTTACATGCCGTGGCTCAAGCAGTCCTCCCACAGAGAGCCGCATTTTTCCCTCATGAGTTGCAGTTAGTTCGTCAGGGGCTGGCCTTGTATGGCGCAGCTGTAAAAACTCTAGAGGAATTAAAAGAGTCAACTGGTGAGATAAGAGATGGCTAAACCAGCCTTAAACAGCTTGCTGCAGAAGGCCTTTGGTACTGCGCTTTTGTAGAAGCTTTACGCGATCAAAAAATATTTCCTCTTGCTTTGCTCTTTGCGTGTGGCTATCAGGCTCCCAGGCAACCTATCTCTTAGACGGTGAATTGCAGAAGCCTCCTGGAGGCGTTTCGAAATATTTAGCATGCGCTAGTGAAAATACATAAAGATCTGGTAGATGCTTTACTCGCCTACTGCACGATTTGTCCTTGTTGCCTGTTAGGCATCTCCTCTCCACGCAAGCCCGGTAGCACTGTCAAGCTTCTAGATGGCTATCTCCACCTTGGGGAGCCTGTATTTACTGTCGAAGCAGTAGAAGGCAGCAAAGCTTCTTTAGGAGGCGTTGATAAAGCGGTTAACGTAGAAAAAGTTGTTTTGGCTGCAGATTCTGGTATGTAAACAAACCGTACCCGAACAGTGCTCTCAAGCCCTTGGCCGCAAACAATTTCTTTTATTATTTAGCCAATTCAGCTGTAGTGAAGTGTGTCTCTGAGTGTGTTGCCCTTGTTCTTAGTCGAGGCAGCGTTCGTGGACACAGCGCTTAGTGGATCATGGCAGTCTGTCGAGAAGGAGGACGCAGATATGCTCTCTCGTCTTCTAGATTTTGCCGAGCATAATGGATACGCAGAGGCCCTTGAGACCGGTAGAAAAACTGGAAACTTCAGTGGCCTTGCAAAAGCCTTGGCAGACAAATCCAGCGGTGAGCCTTCTCAGTTTCGGGAACGCAGAAGCGAAAGTTTCTGCTGCATCTTAATTATTTATACCTGTATGTCGTGCTTGAACCTCGTTCATTGCCATATGAATTGTGTTATTGGTGCCTTCAGTCTTTCAAATCGTTATTAGAATACGCCATTTACTTGGAGCCCCGGAACCAACATTTCAGCAGGGAAAAAAACGTCGTGCAGATGAGAAGGACATTTCTAGAAAACACAGCATGTTTAGCGCCCGTGAAGCAACAAAAAGCAAGTCATTTGTGCAGGAGTGTTTGCTCATTTTGAGACCGCAAAGATGCGGACCTCGTGTGTATTGGTTTTGTTGTGGCGACAACTGAAATCGTCTGTCTTTGTGCATTAACTCAGTGATTGAGACGTTGCAGGTTGTGTTGGCTCACCACGCACTACCCGGCTGTCTGTCTCTCAACCACGCCAACTTAATGATGCAGCCCAGTCTGCTCCTCGCGCGACTATTGGAAAGACATACGGCAGGATCACCACTCGTGGGCCCAGTAAACGAAGAAATAGCTGACAATCAGCTGACGAGAGCATACGTAGCTCCGAAGGCTACTCCAATGCGCGATGTACAGAAGCAGCCTGGATTGGGGACACAGTGTCTAGCAGGAATATACTACGAGCTAGGCCTTCAAGCAGCAGGCGTTGAAACGCTAAGCTGTCATTTGCGCTGGAAGCAAGAACACAGTGCAAAGGGTCGTCAGGGTAAGGAGTGAAGTGACAACATGCGTTTGGAAGAAAAGATCAAGCGTAGAGGAATTGAGTCTTGCATTTGGTTGATTCAATGCGATGTGCGTACCTTTGTAGGCTACAACCCCGCTTCACACGCCTTCTCTCAGGTGATGCGGTCTGCATGCATAGCTGGACCTTCCAAGAAAAGCCAAACAGGTCTGTCGAAGCTTGAAGCAACAGGGATCCCTGACTGAAGGTTTTCTGCACAGGTGCATCTTCGCTTTTTATTTTTGCTTCTTCGCTTTCCTATCCTTGACTCTCAGGCTTGCTACCTCCGGGATCGCTAAGCGACTGCGATTTTACATGTTTGACCAAAGCCTCTTTGCGGAAGAGCTGGGCGAACAAGGAAACAGAACAAAATAGGAGAAAGTATCGGCCTAGTTCTCACTTTCTAAGAGTGGGCGACGGTATGTCACCACACAAAAAATCACATTCGGTGCACGTTTTTTCCCTTTTATTTACCTTAGAGCTTGCAGCATTTTCCTTCGGTCAAAACATATGATTCTTCTGTTGCTTCAGCACTTCGCATGACGACGCGGTATTCGTATGACGAAATCGTCGAGCTTGACCAGAGGGTCGCTGCGGCTTGGCTCACAGGACAGCACCTTCTCGCCGCTTCTGAGAAGCAGACTGCAAAGCTAGAGGGTGAAAGTGTATCTCGTGCTGAAAGTCAGGCTACACCATCTTCCACTGAAGAACACTACTCACGAAGCTCAACCACAAGCTTGTCGCAGCCGACCACAGAGCTTACTGAGACGTTCGCACCACGCGAATCAGAATCAGCAGCGCTATTGCAGGATGGCTGGAAACGGCTGAAAAATGACTCGAGCCAGCGTGAAACCCATGAAATGTTGCGCAGCTTTGTCACTGGAGGTAGCATTAATGTTAATGCCTTGAACTTGCTATCGACAGCCACTATCTGCAAGAACCTCTTGGCGTCTGAACTCTCAAATCCCACCTTGTTCGCACTAAGCGTTCTGACGAACGTCCGAGGTTATATCAACGACTCTGAGGCTGGGTTAGCGAGTTCGAAGAAACAGCGAAAGCTAGCGAAGGGGTCCGACGTATTCGCAGCCTTGTACAGATTTTTCTCTTGTGGACTTGAGGGAGACTTGCTGCCTCCGCTTTTTGCGCCATTCGCTTCTACAGCCTTGCAAATTGGTGAGCCAGTCGTCGCGCTTTCAAAGGTCATGTCTCAGATTTTACGCACACTTCACCTCCCCCAGAAATAGCTCAATAGCTGAGCTATGCATTCCAGAAATGACTTCTACTTCAATCCCCTAGGTAGTGGCTTAAGTTCTCCAGAGCTTGTGCCTGTTTATGTTACAGGAGCTTTCTTAAGGGTTGAACTCGAGGAAAGCACTGCTCTGCCATGGGAAAGGGTGGTGCAGACTATGGGAGATGGTGTTTTCACGACGAAAGCTTACGTGAAGGCAGTGAATCATCTCCGAAAGAAGGCAGCTAGCTTCATTGAAAAGTTTACACCTTGCACTGCGGAAGTTGATGATGCCACGGATCTTCTGATGCTTCCACAGTCTTCAAAAAGAAAAGCAGGGCTCAGAAAAAAGTTGGAGAAACTATCAAAGAAAGCAAGGGGGAAGAAACGGCGAGCCAATAAAGAAATGTGTGAAACTTCGGCCGAACTCCAGCAGCTTGCTCGCATGTTAGTGGTATGGTGGGTTCTGGGACCTTCGCCGCAGATATCTAGCGAAGAGGCCTCGCCACAACCACCTACTACTGCCGACACTTTCCGTGGCGCTCGACTAGTTTTCGCCAGCCTTCTCTTTAACAATGGTGCGCTTGTTTAGCTTCAAACTCGGTAGCCTACAGCGTAGTTACAAATGTTTGGAGACCCACTGCATATCAGCTCCTGTTATCAATCCACCCAGCTGCTATGAGCTGCGTCTTCTTAAACTTGTAGGTCATGACCAGGCTAAGATCGGCATGGAACTCATAAAAGCAAAATGCAAAATGAATAAGTTTGACGTACCGGTGGGTTGGGCTATAGGCGCAAAGAAGGGTGCCGCGGCTCCTCAACAGGTGACATTCAAGGATATTTCGAGCGACATTAATGCCAGTCTAATGTACCTTGAGTCACAAGCAGGTCTGCGAGACGTCCCAGACTGGGTATTAACCCTGAAGGCATCGCAACAGTTTGCTGATGCTTGTGGCCGGCAAACAGTTGTCTCGCTTGCCGACTTGGCTTCGACAGATTCAGCTAGCATGATTCTTATGGGATACCAGTGCATCAAACTTCAAGGTAGGTCGCACAAAGAACACACTTCAATAGGGTTCTCCGCTGGGACCCTGAATCACTTTCAGTCAATGATGCTTTCAGGAAAACGACAGGCTGAAGTTTGGATGTGTCTCCTTATCAAACTGGGGTGCGAGTGCAGATGAAGGCATTAAACTTATTTCAAGCGTATTCGGGAAGGCGTCTACGAAGGTAGACAAGGGCTATCGTCATGTACTCTTCCAATTTCTCGGGGGCATAAACTCATGGAGAGTCTCGAACGCCACTTCTGGCCTTTCACAGGCATTCGGAAAGTTTGCAAGCTCCTCGCAAGAGGCTGAGCAGCAGGCAGCACTGGCCGAGTGGAATGGGAGCTTTCCAGCTGTTGCTTGTAATTGGAAACGAAGCAAGAGAGCTCAAAAGGCCATGGTCAAGCAAGCGACAAGTATGTAACTAATTCCACACTTACACGCAAACAACTAGATGAGATTTTTGCCTCATTTTCGAATATTACTTCACAAACTAGATATTGTGCTCTGACTGCGTCTGGCCTTGTAGGATACCGGAAGCCTCCTACGCTACCAGGCAAACTCGCCGCCAAACCCATGGAATTTCACTGCCCAGGCAAGGCTAATATGGAGGCGCAAAATATCGGAAGTCATGTGATATGATTCTGCCTAGATAAACTATATTTAATATTGCTTTTGAGTATCTAGTGTCAATGGCAACCATGTAGGGTGTTGCCTGCGAATGTTGTGTCCCAGCCCATGCTCCACTACAACTCCAAGATCTTGCAAAGGCATCTGAGCCAGAGGAGACACAGTTTTGTACTGGCGACTCGGCCCAATGTGCTGCTCTGGACTTTAGCACTGAACTTCAAACTCAACTCTAATATTTTGATGGAGAAGTGCCTTATTTGAGAAAAAGCGGCCCCGCAGATGAAGGTTTTCGAAGTGTGGTAAAGTTTTGCTTAGCACAAACAACCTGTATTGCATTACTCGTTTTGTAGCGCCGCCAGTTGTCAGGGTTATTTGAAATGTTGTTGCTGCCCGTCTGTGACACACAGGCTGTGCTTCTTTTCGATTTGTTTTGCACTTTTTACTGGAAATAAACTTTTACTCGCTAGTGACATCAATCTAACACAAGTACTTTGGCTCACTCCGTTGATTGCACATGCTTGTCAACCTGCACAGCTGGTTTAGGATGACCCGGCATTTGTTATGCATAGATATCAAACCCAAGGACGTAATCCTTGCTAAAGTGCGAACTAGTTGTCAATCGCTAGGCTGTGATATTCGGCTGCACTGACTGGAAAGTAATATCAAGCAGGATATCTTTCCTCTAGACAGCGTGACACAACCTTTGCTGGTTTCTCCTACGATGCGTAATTGTGAAAGTACCCTTTTAGTAACTTTTGCAATAGCCCAGATTCCAAAGGGTGCAGAAAACTCTCATTTGGAATATGACGAGGTAAACTGCACACGAGATCCTCGTGGAACAGCTTGGAACCGAGGGAAAATGCGCGCAGTGGAACGTGTACCTCCGTAAGGAGAGGTCATAAGAGCACTAGGACTGTCCTAACCCAAGCTGTTTACAGAAAGAACATCCAGGAGATGCCCCGAAAATGGCCAAGTAATGCAGCAAAATGCGAAATAAGGGGCCCGAAGAGGTTGCAACGGCGACCGGACTGCATGGCTGCGTACCCGTTCTCAAGGAGCGATGGCACAGCTGCTACCCAGATACATCTCTATCAACAACTGACCGTCAATTGCGAAGCTAAAAGGAGGAACATTGCAGCCAAAGCATTTAGTGCGGCTGTTTTAGGCACATCAATAGCTCCCTTTAACACGAGGATGCAAGAAATATGAGAGGCCTCCTACACCTTGTTGAGATCTCTTTGACCGACTTAGGGATAGACCCGAGGCGCTGGGGCTGGGAGGTTGTTTAGCACTTAAGGGAGCCCTGCTCTACTGCTCTACTGGGCAGGACACATCTCGAGGCGACAACCGCACAGAAGAGGATCTTGATGAAGCTGAAGCAGTGAATCCGTAGTGTACTTTGTATACTCTTACAAACTAGAACTGTCGAAGTGCTGGTATCTGGTCGAGCAGAGGCCATGAAGAGCATAACGAACAAACCGCAGCAGCTCTTAGGCTCGGTGTCGCCGTCGCAAGCGATGTGACGTTAAGTGTCTACTGTGCAAAAACTCCTACGGAATCAGGTATGGCAATGACGAAAAAAATAACGGTGGAGATTTCACCATCAGCGTCAGCTGCAGCTCTTGATTTTTTTCCTGAACCCCCTCTGCGAGCTGTGCTGCCATGCGGGATCCCGACACACTGGCAGCCCTGTCCAGGCTAGCCATTACAGAGCGGTGGGACAGGCACCTACGCGATATTGACGCTGCGCAAGGAGCAAAAAGGGGCAACTGCCAAGGCGCAAAGCTACAAGGCAGATTCATTAGTATGCTGTGATGCAAGTGGAGGGGCTGTCGGGCAAAACAATACAACAACAGAAAAAAGCAGACTAGCGGGTGGGGACGAGAGTGGCTCAGACTTGGTGAAATGCGATACTATACAATGGTCTTCACTACGCGAGGCAGATTGCATGCTGAGTCGCGTGGTAGCAAAACGATCCCACCGGCCTCCTGTGCAGAGCGCGCAAGTAAGCACTTAAACTATCGAGCCCACGAGCCATCAGAGGCAAAAAACGCTAGGCACAAGCTTCATGAAAAGGGCCAGATGTGGGCAGATGCAGAAGGGCCTACGTACCGCTACCAGCAAAGTAGCAGCAACCACAGCAGCGGATAGAATGCTGTTGCCTACGTGCAACTGATGTTTAACTTTGTCCTTCAACAGCCAGCCTTCCTCAGATTGCGCACGGTCAGCCATCAAGCGTCCATTCAAAAAACATACACAGGAAAAAGACCGAAGTAGAAGATTTTAGTTCAGTGCTATTGGCCCTTGAGAGCGTAGGCTGCTTGCTCCACTGCAGCAGGGGAGCTGACCAGGAAATCATTGTGATATCCTATGCAATATGGCATGAAAAGACCCAGAGAGAGGTCAGGAATCTCCTTCCTCATCACTTTCTCTGCCAAAAGTAACCAAACTCCTACGAGACTCCCACAGGAGAAAACAGTGTCTGCTACATAAACGCATTAAATAGATCACATCTGGAGCCTCCCTAATCCATAGGCATCTTCCAAACAAGAGGCTTTGCTTTTGTTCTGACTCTTCTCACAGGCTGCTGCTGTCATGGAAGGATCTTGACCTTTCAGCCCACTAGGCTCTTCATTACTTTCAGTGCAGCCTCTGCCTCAGTCGGAGTACCTGTGAACCCGGCTGTTGGATGTTTCGAAGCAAACTAGGCACACTAGAAAAAGCGCTTTAACTTTGTAAGTTGTGCTCCATCGAACGATGTGCACGATCTACCTGTTAAGGCTCTTTGGAGCGGCGCCCTGGCCCGGTCGTCGATTGGGCTGGAGCAAGTCTGGGTCAGTGAAACACAAACAGCCTACTACATGCGTTCTATAGCATTATGATTAAGGTATTATTTTCAATTCCCGTTATTTAGTGTTATGGAACACTGGATTCTTGATACTTAAAGAGCAGGCTAAGCGATGGGTCTCGATTGAGTTGTTCCGGCATCCTGCGCCTCCATACAACTAAACGGGCAGCCTCAGCAAAAAATTTATCGTTCGTAACACTTCTATTCTATTTATGAGTCTCATGCATTTAAGTTACTTCAGTTCAAATGCTTTCGAAGCATCTTAGTGTTTCCAAGAATCGCCCAACTTTCGGGCCACCAACTAGCGAACGGCTCCAATTCCACGTTTCACCTTTTCCCTTTTCTTGAAGAGCAGACATTTCATCTTCTCCAATTCTTTACTTTTCCGCGTTTCAGGTCTAGGGGGCACTTTTTCCATGCACGAAATGCGTGGTACATGAATCCTACCACTGCTATCAGGCGCAGAAGGAAACGGATTACGTGACCTACAACGACAGCACTGGCACTTCTCAACTGCTGCAAGCACAAGTTATTTTACGACGCAAAGCTGAATTCGCGACTTGGATGGCAATGGGGAGCTGCTAACATGACTTGCCCGTCAGAACTTTGCAGTGCCCATCTCTGGAAAACCATTCATCTGGCGGTTTGGCTTCCACCAAACAAATGAAGATAGTAGTGTACACCGCCTAAACATCCACAGACCAGCTTGCTCGCGTTCTGTGCCCAGTGCTGCCTTAAGCTTTCTTACGGCTACCCCACGGTTGCGCGGCTCAAGTCTCGCGCGGGCGCAAACACTCGGTGACGTCGCAAGTCCTATATTGCTGTTGCTGCATTGGTGCAAAGACTCTGATATTTGGCAGGAGATGACGCTTTTGCAGTGTGGCGACATCTGCCCCGTCCCTCGGCGTCACCTCCTGAAGAGGCTACCTTATTCCTCCAGCATGCATCCCGTTACATATGCTGATACGGGCTCAGCACCTGTCACTAGCCATTACATTTCATACCCTTTGCATACTGCATTCAATGTTGTTCCTCAGAAGGTCTCTACCTCTTCTGGAGCCGTGTACCCCACTAATTATGTAGACGAAGTGTCCGGACTGTGTGCAAGCAGCCCACTGAGCAGCTTCACAACTGCCTATCAACATGTGCAGCCGCCACTTCCAGCAGATGGACAAACTAACGCTCTTGTTGTATCTCCAGGAGAAGTGTCCTACGTTCAACCTACCCATTCAGCAAGTAGTAATAACCGCAAGCCAGTTGCGCAACAGCCTTCCCAGTATGTCAGGGTGCCTGAACCAGGGACGCAGTCCCGCGGCAAATTGAGTGGCGAACCCTACAGGCCTAGGGCAACCACGTCCCCAGCGGCCATTGCACCCAACATTACCACCACCTCTTATCAGAACGACTGGGAGCAAGAAGCAAAGCGCCTCCAGCACATTCTGAACGCTCGAGAGAACGAGCTAGATATGAAAGAAGCAGAGCTGCAGGACGCACTATCCAAACTGCAGGAACATCTCAAGCAAGAGAAAGTTGCCCAAGAAGCGACTACACAAGGGTAAGTCGTGGGCCGTCGTCCCACATGCTCGTCGGCGATTCCCTTAGCAAGCGGTTCATAGCAATTAATGTGCTTGCCAGGGCGACCCAGGACGCTACACCGCTGTGCTTCATTTACTCTTGCCATGTGTATTTGCAGAACAAGTGAAGCAGCTCTTAAGGAACAAGAAGCTGAACTCAAAACGATGCGTCGGCGAATTGAAGTGCTTCGGCATGAGCGACAGGAACTGATGGAGTTGCTTCTGCAGAAAGAGCGGCAGGCTACTGCACTTAATACTATAGATCCGGCTGCTAAGGAGGCATCGGCCGTTCAACTAGGAATTCAAGCAATCTCTATGGTACAGGGCGCAGCAGAACTGCGAGGTAAACTGGAACTTGCGGAGGCGGAGATCAAAACACTACGCGCAGAACGTGCAGCCACAGATGAATTGCAGCAACACACTTTCGAAAAGCTTACAGAAAAGCGCAAGGAGGCAGCAGAGCTTCTAGAGCTGCTTTCACAGCGCGATATGAAGGTAGCTCGCATCGAGACTTATTTACAGCAAAAGTCAAGAGAGCTGGATTCTCTATCAACCCATGCAAAAGAACGCCTGAAGAAGGAGCAACAAAAACGAGAACAGGCCGAGCAAGAGTATCGAGTGGCAGTCGAGCAGTGCAATGCATTCAAGACAACTTTAGCAAGCCGAGACGAAAGAATTTTGCAACTGCAGGCTGAGGTCGTGCGTCGTGACACGTTACTTAAACAGCTGGAAGAGCGAGTGCACGTGCTGAGCGGTGATCTCACGGGAGCCCACTCACAGTTACAACAGATGCTGAAGGCTATGGCGGCAAAAGACGCATACATGCAAGAGCTCGAGGCACAGCTGCGAAAGAATGACACGGAACGCCAACTCGCCTATCTGACGGAAGTGTCGAAGAGCCGCAAACTTGCCCTGGATACCCGTATCCAGCAAGAGCTATGTAGGGCTGCTATTAATGACAAACGTGAGAAGTTGGCAGAGGCAAAGCAAGACTTGTTTAGGAGTCGCACGGCAATGGAAAGAATCCGCAAGGCTATTGGTTGTGCGGAAACAACTGAGAACTGTTATGTACGATCAGAAGCGTTGCAGTCAAACGAGCTACATATCCACCCAGTGGAGCCAACTCAAATATCCCCTCTCGCATCTACTGGTATCCCAGCTGTTCCAGTTGATGAGAGTCTCCGTCACATGCAAGCTGACTTTTTAGTGCTGACGCCTTCTCCAGAGACTCGTCAAAAACCCGCGACTGCCACAAAACAGCCAACTGCATCAGCGAAACACCCAACAAGTTCCAACAAATTCCAAGTCACCTCAACGGCTGCACAGCCAACCTCGAAGCCTCCATCGTCTGCTTCAAGGACATCAACACCAGGCTATGGACTTCAGTCGGAGCAATTTTGCCCTCCGTACACCCCAGTTCGAGATGACCCGCTTGACGAAGCAGTTGCGCATTTGTGTGAGCTACCAGAATATCGCTCGCTCGCTGCGCACATTTGCAGGTTGGGTCCCGGCTCGTACCTCTGCTGTATGAACGAGGTTGCCATGGAGCTGCAGAAAAACAGCACTGTTTGGGTTAAACTTCCTGGAGGGCAGAGGATAACCTTAGCATCTTACTTCGACGTGCTACGATCTACCTTGGAAGCTTGCCCAGGGACAGCCGCATCAGGGATTCCGTTGTCCGGCACCACAAAGACTGGTGTCCAGTCAAAAACAAAGGAGAGCAGCTAGTTTAATGACGCTGTACAGTTATGTGTCGCCTCGCACCCCTCCCACTGATATTTGTACCCTGGAACTCACCCAGGAACATAGTCAAGTCAAAATTCCCTTTTTGCAGAAGAGCTCGAATCTGTAGTTCCCTCGAATATTTCTGGAGGCGCCTTTTGTACACCACAGCCGGGTTAGGCAGACGTGCGGAATGCAACGTAATGCCATTGGTCACTGCTAGTCGTCTTCGCAGTTTATAGTCACCATTTGTAGATGCAAGCTGCGCCACTCACAATTGGTAATTCTTCGTCACGGCGCTGTATGGTAACGCCGGTAATCTCTTGGTGGAACGAGCTAGAACAATTCCTGGGATCCTATAGTCAATTACACGGAAAGATGACGCGCTTCGACACCAGAAGCTTCAAGTCACTCACCACCGGGGCATCTCAGTCCGGCAGGGGCATTTATACTCAAAAGTAAGTTAAGGAAGTCAACCAAGTTTAAAAACTCTCCATTTGTCCAGTAAATCCACTTGTTTTGTGGAGCGAGAAACCCCCGTGCTGCTTCAGACAACTGGTTTTCGACATCCTGTGTTATGTCCGCCACTTCTACCTCGAAAATGCCTAAAATTTTTTCCCTCACCACCAGCCTCGACAAGTATATCGGTAGCAGTACTGGCATGGAGATATAAGGAAACGTGTTTCTGCATTGCACACTCATTCTAAAGGTGAATTCGATGTCGTCTCCGCAACAGCCGTCAGTGCCATCCCACACAACGGGACATGTCCCAGGCTTTTCTCCGTAAATGCATTCGCCAATACGCAATGACAACGCAAGAGTCTTAACCATTCCTGATACTGTGAGTACAATCCTGTGCACAGCGCATTAGAACAAAAGGAAATCCCGCTCGGTTCGTACGTCCATGCTAGGGGCCCAATCAGTAGAGTCTCACCAATCATAGTCTACAATTATTTGAAAAGACAGAGCTGCAATCTTCATATTACCCATGTGTGGCACGCTTTCTACATGAAAAAGTGACAGTAGTGTGGCCGCGGAAGTAATGAAGCGAGCTGCACTATTATCTTCAGAACTCGTTCCTTCTATTCTGTGGAATCGATAAAGCCCTGTTGACAGAGGCATTGAGTACGTCTTCGAACCTATCCAAAGCTAAATTTTCACCAAAATCGACTTAAATGCTGTGTTGTCAAGAGGCACTCCGCAAACTTACAGAATTTACTTAATCTATGCCTAAACTTGAAGTGAGCTAGTTCAAATGTTTCCCAACTTCACGCACTCCCTAAATCGACACTGACACAAGCTTGCTGCCAACTCAAATACGGTGCTCACCGACATTTGGATATTCTGTTCGCATGTTCACTGCTTACCTATTTTGGGGGGCTGTATCAAAGCGCACAACATGCAGCTGCGCCGTGTTGAGGCCTGTAGCCCATCGGGCGGTAGCCTCATAAGTTGTCGTCCGAGTGTACGCTAGAGGTTTGGATCCACTGCAAGGTGGTGGAGCAACATGGCTACCGGAGGCACAATCACCAAAGGAACGAGGCAAAAGTTTCTCTAACAAAGGGTTCATAAAGTCAGAGAACCCTTGTAAATGATTATTCTGAAGGCAAATCCACACATCAGAACTTCAACATCTGGCCCCTTTTGCTTGCAGGGAAACGATGAAGCTTCGGGTTCTGCAAAGTAAACCACGCACTGGAGGGGAGTGGCAAATTTAAAGGTCAGCTACCGGGGAATGTTGACTCACAACGTTGCTGAGGTCCACATCAACTGTTTCCATTGGCTTAAGCCATATTGGCAGCACAAGAGTCAACGAAATGATCACTCGAGCGCATCCATGAAGTATTAACCAGAAAGAAACGGTCTTCCAGCTGCTGCTTTCGTGTGGACGTATCGTGCTAATGCAAGCAGATGCGGGCACAGTGTCAGCTCGCGTAGCCCGCGTTGGCAGACAATCGGTGAGAAATTCATCCGGAAAAAATTCGTCGCTGTCGTCACTAACAACATCCCTACTGCGTTTCAGCGATCTCTGTCGTACTGCACACGATAATGCGGACGGTATGCCTGAGGAGCTCGACGACTGAATCTTCCGCAGCGGTAGACGCATGTCTTGAGAGACGCCCTCAAAGGGTTGCGACAGCCTATGCACTTGTGATGCACTGAATCCTAACGCAAGTATTCCCCAGAAGCCACTGAAGTTCCACAGGAGTCTCTCCAGCATGCTATTCGGCTGACCAAGAGAAACACCTGGAATACGTGCTCCAAAGAAGTCGATACTGTTGAAAATGAAGAAGGCTGTCAGGAGACCCATACTTAGGACGTCAGGCATAGCAACATCTCCAACGAGAGCTGATATGCCTGAAAGCGTTCTCGTCACGTAAATGGCTCTGCCACCGACAACTGGAATGCGACAGGGAGCCTGTGGCGAGGCAGCTGAAAGCACGTTCGAGGCGCGAAGCGACGCACAACTCTGTTCAGAACGGTGTAGGAAGCAGGAGCCTACCAGGGAACCCAGGGAGGCGGCGAATGAAACGAACGTGACAACAAGAGGAAAAACAACAATGGTGCCGCATCCACTTGCCACATATCCCAAAGAATACATCCTCCAAAAAATATTACCGAGAGACATAGTCAAGGTATCTATTGCAAAATCTCTTTGCTGTCCGGGGACAACAGAAACTTGCATAATCGGTCGTACCCAGCAAATTAGCATGGCGAAAAAAAATATGCAACAGCTAAGTACTAAGAACAAAATCCGTACTCGGCATTCCAAGAGAGAGCATCTTGAATAGTTGGTGCGCCCCATGTCAACATTGGAAACTGCCTCCCCTGCAGTTTGGGATGGGACTCGTGACTGCCCGCTAAGAATTTGCCCATCTCCAAGGCACGCATCACTCGAAGTACTGCTCAAGGAGAAAAGGGCGTGAGAACCTGGGTCAACCCGCAGCAGGTGCCTGCCCAAAAGTAGCCTCACAAGACTCGGTCCTTCTATTCTAGAATTTGTTTCCCCACTAAATTCAGGATGAAACTTCATTGGACTTGGGAGACCTGAAAAATCTCCTGGTAGGCCAACTGGCTGAGGTGACGAATAGCCTGGCAGCAGGGAATGAGAGTCATTCGCTGCACGTTGGTGCACGTCTCTGTGGCACTTCGCTATCCCACTCCTCTTCAGGTATTTCTGTTCGTTGTGAAAAGAGCCTGTTGACGGCCTGCTCGACATAAATGTTGTCGAACATTCTGAAGCACCAAGCGGTGTGGTACAGCCATTAGGGGCCAGTCCGTCGACAGTGGTGGTATTCACGGGCGATCTCCTTGCAAGCAGAGGACTTGAGAGAGCGACACAGCAACGACCTAAGTCACATTTTTGCTGGTGTCGCTCAAACGCCTCTGAATAGCAGTGGCAAAGCCAGTGGGTAGTTACGATGAAGACAAGGCAGTGCGCCTGATACGCTCGAACTGCAGAAAGCGGTTCTGCGGATATTCCGACAAAGTTGATAAAAGTTAACAGAAAAATAATAGCAAATACGTCCACAAGCTGATATTTACATATTACACGAAGAACCCTAACGATTTTTAGCGGCAGAAGAGCTAAATGTGCGCGCCGACGGCAACACGTTGCCATCACCAGAGTAGCCGCTATGAGAATGAACTTAATAAACGGCAGAACAAATGAAAATGTGATGATACACATGAACGGAAAGTAATTGCCCTGACGCAAAAGTAGACGAAGCAGAGCTGGCATTGAAAAATCCTGAGCTTCCAATGGGATTTCTGATAGCCCAGGGAATCTGCCTGCAACTCATCATGACAACACAGATAAAGGGAACCCCTGTATACCTATGCTGTGCAGAACACTCCTGAAGACTCTTGACAACCAAAGCTACACGAAGGACGCGAATAAAATATATGTCATGGCAAGCCAGAATAGCCTACGCCAATCTGTAAAGTCAGAAAAACACCGATTCAAGCTCCAGTTCCGAGTTGTTCTTCCAATAGAAAGAAAGGGGAACAGGACTCTCACAAATATCCCTCTTAAATTGGCGTACCGGCGATTCGTACAGCCGGAGCTGATGCCCCGAGTATGTAAAGTACCATGGACGCCAGAAGTAGCGCTGCTCCAAAAGCATGCTTGAGTTTTTGAATGACAGACAACTCCCCACACCGGCGATCCATCTTCCTTCTGGGGAGCTGCTGTTGTTTATCAAGTTTGAGCGGGTGGCGTAGGGTAGTTTATCAGACCTTTGACCGTAAGCAGCAGTATAATGGAAGAACCGTCCCTGCTCCAGGTCGACGCGGCCAGCACACTGACGGTACTAGCCACTAAAACATCCTACAGGAGCACAGCTAGACTTATTTAAAGCCCACTGAGGTTAAGTGTTGTTAAGCGATCCACGGCTGCAATGAGTCATGATGCTCATGATGCTTATTGCACCGAGGAAGCCAAAAATGAGACCGAATGAATGCTGCCTCTGCTGCTTTGGTCTCGGAACAAATCAAGAACTGTCTAAATATCCGCCATTAAAACTTGAAAAGGCAGCATAGCTGTGTACGCTTTGTGGATCTTCGGCGACGGAATTGTGGACCATTGGGCAGCCCCACCACAACTCCAATGCTGACCAATGCTTGCTGATCAGCATTCTTCGGCTTAGCACAGCTTCAGCAACCTCTTTTATTCTCACTATCCTGTATTTTGCTTTATACAAGGCTTGTATCTAGGCGCGTAGAGCCCTTCTGCTTAGTCAAACGATGTCGCGACCTCGTTTTCTCAGAATATTCGGTGCCAACTGCGGGAAGCGGGGCTTCCTGAATTGTCCGACTACAAGCATATTTTCATAATTTGTGTCGCACGTGATGATTTACAAGAATGTGTAAAGAATAACCACGTTAGTTGCTGCACCTGCAGGGACGCATGTTCAGGTAAAATCTGAGGCTTCTTCGAACTCAACCACTCAAGAATTGAGTACTTGCTTACACGTTGACGTAGTGCAAACAATCATATCTTCAAT